TTGACATCCAATGCTTTCAAGAGGTAGCATGTGACCAAGAACTGATGGTACTGCAGGAAGTCCAAGCTGCAATGAAAACATTAGCCAAAAACAAAGCTGCAGGAATTGATGGAATACCAATAGAAATGTTTCAACAAACGGATGCAGTAGTGGAAGTACTAACTACTCTAAGCCAAGAAATTTGGAAGACAACTACTTGGCCAACTAAATGGAAGACATCCACAGTTATACCTATATCCTATGAAAGGTAACCAATGGAAAGCAGGAATTACCTAACAATATCAATAACATCACAAGCAAGAGAAATTTTGTTTACGATCATTCAAAACACAGTTGCAGTATTACGCTGACAGGAAGCTGCCAGAAAGACAAGCCAGATTCAGAAGAGGACGTGGCACCAGTGATGTCCACGAAGGCATCAAATGGATCTTGGCTGAAAACTGAAAGAGGTTGACTTGTGCTTCCTTGACCATGCAAAGGCTTCTGACTGTGTGGATGATCACACACTATGTATAACACGGGGAAGAATAGGAATTCTACAACATGTCATTGTGCTCATGTAGAACCTGTACTAACATCAAGAGGCAAGTGGTTGAAACAGAACAAGGGGATAATGTATGGTTCGCAATCAAGAAAGGTGTGCATCGGGGTCAGATCCTCCAACCACACTTATTCGCTTTGTCAGGTGAGCAAACAGCCTGATAAAATGGACGCTGAAGAAGCACATGGCATCAGAATGAGAGGAAGGGTCCTTTACAGGCCACGATAGGCAGGCAACAGGACTTTGCTTGTGGAAACAGAAAAGAAATTGAGGCAATTAGTGATGAAGATCAAAGACTGCAGCCTTCAGTATGGATTATAACTTAAGGTTAAGAAAATGAAAATCCTCACCACTGGACCAATGGACAGTATCATCAATGGAGAAGAGACTCAACGTGTCAAAGATTTCATTTTTCTTGGATTCACAATCAAATCTCACGGAAGCAGGAGTCATGGAATTGAATGACTTATTACATTGGGCAAACCTGAAGCACAAGACCTCTTTAAAGTGTTAAGAGCAAAGATGCTGCTTTTAGGACAAAGATGCACCTTACCCAAGCGTACGTATTTTCAGTTGATTCACATGCATGTGAAAATCGGGCAATGGATAAAGAAAACTTCATAGGGATCAGTGCATTTGAATTATGGTTTTGGTGAGGAACCTTCAAAGTACTGTGGACTGCCAGAAAAGAAAACTTGTCTTTCTTGGAGCGAGTCAGCCAGAATGCTTTTTAGAAGCAAGGACGGCCAAACTTCTCATGCACTTTGAACAAGTGATAAGGAAAGATCAGTCCTTGGAAAGGACAGCAGTCTTCGTGAAGCAGAGTCAGGGAAAAGAGGAAGACCCTCAAAGAAATAGCTGCAACAAGGTGCTCAGCCCTAACAACTGTGAGGATAGCTTAAGACCAGGCAGTGTTTCCTTGTGCTCTACACAGCTGTGAACCCAGACCAACGGCACCTCACAACACGCACTGGTTAACAAGGAATACACGTTAAATAAAAGCAGAAATCCTAGTACAGTAAAAGGAAAGGGATGGAAAAAGATACGCCATGCTAACATGAGTCAAAAGAAAGCTGGAATGAGTACGCTGATATGAGACAAACTGGGTTTGGGATCAAAGAATACTATCAGGAATAAAGAAGTTATTAATTTCCTAATGATAAAGAGCAGAATTAATTGAAAGCATAATCATCGCAAACGGTTACCTAATAACAGAACTTTAAAATACGTGAAGGAAAAATGATAATAGAGAAATCTACAATTATAGTCAAAGATTCAATAGCCTTGTCTCTGTGAGTGCTAGAACAAGTAGATAAAAGACTATGGAAGAACTGCAGGGGTTAAACAGGTTTTTGCTCCTCATGAATTTGCTTGCCTGGGCCCAGGATTGGAGGGCTTCACACTTATACCTTATGTATCCAAGAACCAGATTTATAATACTGTCCCCTTTTTGTTACGTATGAACGCTATAAACAAAATTATTAAAAAAAAAAAAAAAAGACTATGGAAGATTTAAACAGCACTATGACTCAACTTGAACTAATTGACATTTACACTTAACAGTAGAAGAATTTACTGTATGGTTTAATTGATATTTACACTATGCACAGGGAACATTTACCAAAATAGATCATTCTGGGGCAGAAAGCAGGTCTCAACAAACATGGGGGGGGTGGGGGGAGGTGGTACTTAGGTGCCATCAAATCAGTTCTGACCCAAAGTGACCCTATGCACAACAGAATGAAATATTGCTATGTCCTGCACCATCCTCACAATTGGTCCCATGCCTGAGCCCACTTGGCAGCCACGGTGTGAGTCCATTTCATCAAGGGTCTTCCTCTTTTTCACTGCCTTTGACTTTAGCAAGCATGGTGTATTATTCTCCAGGGACTGGTCTCTCCTGACAGTATGTTCGAAGTATTTAAGACAAAGCCTTGACAACCTTGCCTCTAAGGAGCACTCTATCTGTATTCCCCCAAGACAGATCAGTTTGTCCTTTCAGTAGTCACTGGTATTTTCAATATTCTTCACCAGCATCACAACTGCATCCATTCTTCTTTGGTCTCCCTTATTCAATGTCCAACTTTCACAGGCATATGAGGCAACTAAAAATACCATGGCTTCGGTCAGGTGCACCTTAGTCCTCAAAGTAGCATCTTTGCTTTTCAATACGCTAAAGAGTTCTTATGTAGCAAGTTTATATAATGCAACACATTATTTGATCTTTTCACTGCTGCTTCCATGAGAAGACAAAATCCTTGACAACTTCAATCTCTTCTCCATTTATCATGATGTTACCTATTGGTCTAGCTGAAAGGATTTGGGTCTCATTTACATTGAGTGGTAATCTATACTGAAGGCTCCACTCCTTGATCTTCATCAGCAAAGTGATTCAAGTCCTCCTCACTCTTAGCAACCAAGATTGTGTCATCTGCATATTGCAGGTTGTTAATAAGTCTCCCTCAAATCCCATGCCATATTCTTCTTCGTATGTTCCAGTTTCTCTGATGGTTTGCTCAGCATACAGAATGAGTAAGTATGGTGAGAAAATACAACCTTGATACACACATTTCTTGTTTTTAAGCCATGCAGTATTTCCTTGTTCTGTTTGCCAACTGCCTCTTGAACCATGTAGAAGTTCCTCAACAAATTTACAAGGATTCAAATTTTTTAAAAAGCATGTTCTCAGATGACAGTAAAAGATTTCTCAAAAACTCTAAATAATAGGAAACTACATAAGATACATCTTAATAAAACCCAATAAGCCAAAGAATATATAACATTACAAAGTATTTCGAACTTAAAAATAAATAAGAAGAAAAGCCTCAATCAGTGACTTCAGCAACAAAATATAGGAATTTATAATTTATCAAGAGTTCACAAGGGTGGGGAGGGTTGGAAGAGGAGGTGATACCAGGGGCTCAAATAGAAGAAAATGTTTTCAAAATGATGGCAGCATATGTACAAAAGTGCTTGATATAATTGATGTACCGATCGTTATAAGAGCCCTCAAAAAATGATTTATTGAAAAAAATCAATGAAATAGAAATTAAAAAACATTGAAGAAACACCAATGAAATCAAAAGCTGGATCTTTAAGCACATCAATAAAATTGATAAGCCCCAAAGTAGACTGGGCAGGAAAGAAAAGAGACAAATTATAAGTACCAGAAATAAGGTGAGAACACTACAAATTATAGAGAGTAAAAGGGCAATAGAGATTTATGGGATACATAAAGATTTCTCCCAAGTTGTCATCCCCATATATATGCCAAACCTAAGACATTGCTTGCTATACATGGTAAACAGCTGTACACATGGAGGGCAACGAAAGCTGGTCAGAGGTTATTCTCCTGGGGAGGGGGGTGTTATCAGCCATCTAGACTGTACAGTCTGTCCCACTCTAAGTAGGGCCCACTCCCTTCTGATAAGAATAGTAGATTGTTTCCCTCAAGGAGAGCCCAGGGCGGTGAAGCCCACTCAAGAGTGACCAAGGTTAGGCTGCCATATTGAATCTAGGGTCCACCCATCTTGTCACATGTGTACCCCTAATCCCTCCCTTTCCTATTGCGTGTACACCCCTAGCTCTTCCCCTTCCTGTCACGCATATGCGTATTGAACAGCCCTTTCCTGTGATGTGTGTGGTTACCCGTAATCATGCCCCCAAAGATATATAAGCCTTGGTTAGAAATAAAATCCTTCCTCCTGCCCTCTCCTCCTCCTGCATCACCACGTGGACCACCAGGAAGGGCTGAGGTGAGCACGCTGCCACGAAATGTGTCTGATTCCTTTATTTTACTCTCTCTCCTATCTTCTGTGATGTTACTATCATGTTTATATATTACAACCGTACAATTGTGCCTACTGAACCCATGGTCGTGTGAGGTGCTAGTTTCCCCTCACAGAGAATCATCTGAATATCTTTAGGACAATGCATTTGCAAATTTAAATGAAATGAACAAGTTCTCTGAAAGACACAAATTACCAAATCTCTCTCAAGGACTGGATGAGTCTGAAGAGGACACTCTCCATGTATTAAAAGGAGCTGCACTAGTGGCGCAGTGTGTTAGGCCCTGGGTTGTCAACCAAAGGACAGCAGCTCAGAAAAGAACTGAACAAAGATGAGGCTGTGTGTGTGCTCCCTAAAGATTCCGTTTCCGACTGTGGGAAATCAGACTAACAGTGAACGTCCTGCCACTGATAAAAACTCTCGGACCAAGTGGCAACACTGATTAAGCTGCAAAACCCTAAAAGATAAAGTAACAATAATTTTGCACCCATTTTTCCACAATATTGGGGGAAAAGACTACTTGCCATCTCCTTCTAGGAGGTCAGTAGCAGGTTGGGAGAAAATCTAGATTAAGATATACAGAAAGGAAAGAAGAGAAAAATAGTCCAGGGTTGATTTGTAATGGAAAGATTGATTTTTTTCCCCTTCCAAATCATTTTCGCCCCCCTACCTTTTCTTCATAGTTGGGTAGTTGCTCTCTGCATACTGTGATTATGTCCATCCAGGAGTAGTTTCTCTCTTTACGGATCTTTTCTAATTCTGGGTCATTCTCATAATTGTCTGCATCCAACTAAGAGAGTTTACACAACAACAAAAAAGGTCAGCTCTTTATCTCGAATCTAGCACCTTTTCCCATTTGTGAACCACAGCAGTCCTTCACATCCTTTCCAAATTTTCTTTAATGGCTTTTCTATTCCCGGAAACACCCTGCCTGCCTTTTCTTCAAAAGAGGGAAGATCGCTCTCTTAGGTCGTGTTTTTCCACATTGCTAGACCCTGCGCTTTCACAAAGTTCTCATTGTCTCAAATTTGTCCAACAACACACTACGGGCAGTCCCTGGATTATAAAGGAGTTTGTTCCCAAACCGTCTCTCAGTCAACTTTGTACGCATGTCACAACACTTAGATGAAGTTGGGCTCTAATGTCAGTTTGTCAAATAAATGCTTGTCTCTAGTACATAGTGTACATTTCTATGCATTAGAAAAAATTAAATAAACACTTCTAGATACACTAAAACATACTTCACATAATCATATAAGAACAGACTTTTTATTCAGTAAAATAGTGCCTACTTGGTATTACAGATGGTTTTATCTCCCTACCATTTCTAGAGTAATAGGCTTATGGGGTTGACTGGGGCCTGCGTGTTGTTTCTCGACTACCAATCTTCCCCACAGCTCAAACATAACTCTCTGCAGTACGTCTCAGAATAATCTGTCTGCCCTACCGAACTGTCTGCTGCGCCTCAAAGCCTACAAATACACAGGAACCTGAAGTCTGATATCAGCGGACTCCTACAATCAATCCCTGGCCCGCCTCCAGGTGTCTTTGCTATACCTTGCTGCCCTTAGTCCCAGTTTTTTAAATCTATATCTAAGCCAAATATAAACATTTGCTAGACCTCAAATATATTTAGTATTTCACATTGCCATCCTCTGCTGTTCCCATTCCCCATTTTCACCTATCAAAATCCTCCATTTGAAAATCCAACTTTAATGTTACTTTCTATGTGAAACAACCCTTCAGAACCCCCATCCCCAAACCAAACAAGCCCACTGAGTTGAGCCCCACACTAAAGGACAGGGTTT